ACATGGATTTTAGCTAATTTGGTGATTTAAAAAATAATAACAAGGTTCATGGGCAAATAAAGCACTCAGTTAAAAACGAGTTCCAGTGCTGTGTACACTATTGTTTCATAGAGATGTACCTTTTGCTGGTTTCCCTCTTACCCCTAAAGTGCATTGTGTGGTTTTAGCTCACCGTTAAAGCACCAGCATCACATTTGGGCTGCCTATGATGCTTGCTTGCTTGCTTACTTGGTTATCTGAAAGAAGTTTACATTACATTAATTCTAAAGAGAGTCCAGTTTAACCAGCAGCCACATGCACAAATAAAACCAAACTTGGTGCATGGAATTCAGCCTTTGAATCCTGGCTGCTTCTGTCTTGTGACCTATTTCTGTGTTGTAAGGACCTCTGGCATGCACATGAAGCTCGAAAGGCTGTGTCACGTTTATTTTAATGGAAAGGCCATCTCACATTAATGGCTTACTCTCCATTGAAGTAAACAGGGAATCCACATAAGCAGGCGCTCCCTGCAACATTCTGGGCAAAGGTCTTCCATGGGGCTGAAATCATGAATCCAAGATCTTTGTCTTAAACAGGAGGTAGAGCACCTTGTAATTGTTGTGTTTTGCAATGGGAGAAACTGACATGTATTATGAGCGTTCATTATTCCTATCCGTATGGGTTATATCTTTTATGACTTGCCATTCACTGAAGTCAGCCTGTTACTTTTTGTCATTTTATTTTTGCATCGAAAGCAGAAATAAAAGCACATTTGCATTTATAGTTGTATTAATACCTGTCTAGCTTAGAGTCTGACAGTGTCGGCTTGAAACACATATGAAGGGTTCTACCTTGTTTCCCTCTACCCACAATTAATTGAAAATAAAACTGTGAACATCCATAAGAATATGTTGTTTTGCATATTTTGGTTTTGTGGGTTTTTTTTAAAAAAGTTTTCTGACTGCCTTAAACGTTTTTAGGTGTAGTTTGTTTATTACTTTCCTATTTTAAAGATACCTTATGTTTTTACCAGAATGTATATGTAACCAACTTACAGTGTTCATATATAGCATTATATATGTTATGTATCCGTCCATTAGAATTTTGTTAACACTTTTCAGTGTAAAAAAAATGGTTTAATTCTTCCCAAGTACACCAATAATGGGAATTCTGTGCATTTGGTGGACATGTTTTTTGTATATGTTCTTGAATGTTCACTTCCTAAGAGTCTGAATACTCAAAAGTGGGAAAGAGAAAATACATTTTTTTAAAAAAAGAAAAAAGAAAAAACCCAAAACATTGTTCTTTTGTGTGTGTGTGGCCGTTATTTTTAAAGATTTACCAATTTATTTATTTTCACGTGTCACTTGATGTTTCTGTCATTTTTTTGGGAGTGGGGAGGGATGAACCCTGTGGGTTTTAGTGTTTCGTTTTTCCATAGCTTCTTTGAACATACTCCATCCATTTTTCTTTTTCCTCGTTAGGTTTGGGATGATTTACAGATCTTTTTGACAGCTGATGCAATTTGAAATGTTCATTCTGTGCTCTCTTGATCAGTGAATAACATCTTGGCAAGGTCCCAACCTCTTTGTGCTTCATGTTTGCATGTTTCTGGGTTTCTATGCTCAGGGCTATATTTGGCAGTTTTGAATTTGATACGGAGCTGAAGGTAGGTAGTCAGTATAGGTGTTGGCACCCTGGGAACTCTAAATTCTGGTTAAGGAACACAAGATGTTTCTAGCTTCTTGGGCATTGAAGGTGTGTTTAGCAACATGACATGCTTGAAAGTCCAAAGTAACATCTCTAAAGCTTGGAAAAATTACTTTTGGACTATGGTACCCCAAATCCCTCAACCAGTATAGCCACCTGGGAGATTCTGGAAGTTGTAGTCCAAAAAGTAAGTCCAGGTGTCTTCCATGCTCAGGATAAGGATAGAACATCATTAGCTATTTATCCTTTGGACAGAAAACCAAGTATATGCAGTAGTTGAACAAAATATATGGGAAAATAGATAGCCAAATTTTGTTTCTTTTCATACAGAATTTTGAATGGCAAAAGTACAGCCCTGACTATACCTACCTTTCTTCCTTTTCACTTTTCCATCACACTTTACTTTTTAAAGGAAATAGTTGTTGTTGTGGTTTTTTTTTTCTCTTTTCTCTTTTTATTTGCTTCCCCCACTTTGGATTCTGAACCTTTCTTCTTCTTCTTTTTTTTTTCTCTTTTCTGTAGCTTCTTCTTTATGTAGGTGTCAGTCACCTTGCCAAGTTCCACTTTCCTCTCTCCTAATGGACATTAGAAGAGCCGGCAGGTCATGCCACACACCCCCATTGGGAGACGAGTTACCTCATTCTTCCACCACCTCCGCCTTTCTGTCTTTTGAAAACTGTGACTCACTGCAGTCCGTGTGTGTGTGTGCGTGCGCATGCACGTGCGCCCGTGTGTGAGTCCTCGCACACATAAGTGTGTGTGCATGTATGTACACCTGTTTGTATCTTTTCTTCTGAGTGTCAGTCAGACCACTGCAGGCAAACAATTTGACTTCTCACGCTGCTCAGATGAATAGAGACAAGGAGGCAGAGAGAACTTGGATGACGCCCGAGATATTGCACTGGGGATTTTCTTCTTCCTTTCCTTTTGATACAGCAGACATGTATGTGCCAGTCAGAATCAGGACAAGGTGTATGTGTGTGTGTGCATTTGTGTGTGTAAGTGAGCGAGAGGTGTATGTATGTAAACCCAGAGTTGGTTGTTTCAAGTGTTACAAACCTACACAGATCTAATCTAGCACTGAATCTAATTCTCTCCAAGAAATGCTGTAACCTGGTTACTCTAAAAGCCATATGAACTCATGCAAGGGTTCCCAGTATTTGTTTTCATAACACTCCCTAGGTTGATAGGAGGGGGAGAAACCTGTCCAAACATAAGTGAAACTTGAGGATGAAACCACCTGCTTCAGTCTATATAACCTGCTTTGAATCAGGTTTCTTAAACTGACTCCTGACTCCTAGAAATTAGGGACAGTCACTTTGGGAAAGTATTGAGACTACCGTTAGTTTCCTGGCCATGGATAGCAATTCCATTCATTATGCAGCAGCAAATATGTTTACCGCTGTATTGTAAATACCCTTGTCAGGGAGTTGTACCTCATCCTGGCTCTTGTATGATGACTGTATTTGTCTCGTGCACACACATTTTGGAGTTTTAATGGATACACATAAACTAGAATGGCTAAAAGTGGCCAGCAAACAATTCCCAGAGTTTCTTCTAGGGCATGGGATTGCTGTGGCAAGTTTGACCAGATTCCTTGGTTTTCAAATGGGATAGCATATAGTTACAATGAGAAAATCTTCAGAATCATCCCCAGCTCCAGGTGAGAGCTTGGAAAAGGTTTTTGTTTGGATGGCAATTCCCACAATTGCCCAGCCAGCATAGGATTGGCCATGGATGAGTCTGAATTGTCACAAAATCCTGTGGCTTTTTGCTCCTAGGGCTTGATGGTTCTTTGGACCTCACCATCCTCTCTTTTATGCCTGTTGCTGAACATGCATTTATCGATTAAAAGATTCCCAGGCCTGTCATTTAGGATAAAGCCCTTTCAAAGCAGCTTTTACATTTAAAAAGCATATCATATAACAAAAATTAAACATGGCAGCAGTTCAAATGAAACCCTGGGCACTGTCCTGAGACCAAGCCATGCCGAAGGCCAGAGATGTGTGCATATACCATGATTCTGTGCAAAGCATTGAAAGAGCACCGACTTTTGAGTCCAGTACCTTCAGATGCAAGCTTTAATTTGCTTTGCTGGTTCATTTAGTTGAGACTAGGCCAGGCTTGCAAATATACACACAGTCTGACATCCTATCAAAGAATTAAGATGTCGCGATTTAAAGACATAGTCATGTTAGTCTGGAAAATCAGTATGCAAAGGGTTCTTGACCCAAAGAAGGGAGCTGGTAGTATCTCATGCAGTTGAGGAAGTAGACTCAGGTCTATGAAAGCTCATGCTACCAGCTTCTTTCTTTCAATTAGTATCAAAGGTGCTACAAAATTTCTTTGCATACAATCTCATGGGTTTGCCATATACCATTGCAATTCACTTTGAAGTCATTGCACACGCAGCAACCAAAAGTTCCCCCACTACATTTTCAGAAATGCAGCCCCCCAACATCCATTTACATGTTGCCAGAGAATGGGGTTACATTTGGGGGCATGTCCAGCTCTTTCCCTGTAGCTGGATGCATTGCAACAGACATCTGCAGTCCTAGGGATAGGATTGGAAGACACAGTGTACAGAGATGTAACTACATCTCCCAATGCAGGCCCCCCAACCACTCTTTCAGGTTAAAGCAGCGGGATGGCTGAGCAAAATTTTCCATTGTAAAGGTATTGTTTGCTTACCCATGGCTAGCAGAGATGAAATAAATTAAGCAACAGGACGTAATCTCTAAAGATTAGATATCTCCTGATCATTGGACATGGATGTTCTGGTTGATGGAAGCTGAAGTCCAAAATTATGAGGTGGCATCAGGTTGGGGGAAGCTACTATTTCGTAAGTATTAACGCCCTCTTTTACAAGGAGGTATTCATATGCAAATGTGTGCCGATATAATTGATTAACTGTATGGGTTTTTATTGTTGATCAACAGATTTCTTTAATCAAGTGATGACTCCGTAATTAAAATCAATGAAACAAAGTGCCTAAGTGATGTCCTTAATAAAGCAATCCTGTATTATGTCTACTCAAAAGTCAGCACAATTGGGTTCAGTGGGTCTTCCTCACAGGTTAGTTCCTATAGGATTGCAGCCTAGGTTCAGCGAATTGCAAGGGGAGTTAGTTAGGCCATGTTGAGTTATGCTCCATTCTTCTCATCCCGACAACACATAATCAAGCTTCAAACCAAGGGACCATTTAATGTCAAGGGACCATTTAATGTTAGAAACTGTCTCAAATGCTGTTTTATTGAAATATCATTATAGGATTTCTATGGATGGATGCAGCCATGTATCCCAAGTGACAGAGCTAGTGTGGTGTAGTGGTTTGAGCACTGGACTATGACTCTGGAGACTGGGGTTCAAATCTTCGCTTGGCTATGGAACCCCACTGGGTGATCTTAGGCAAGTGACACTCTCTCAGCCTCAGAGGGAGGTACCAGCAAAACCCCTGAACAAATCTTGCCATGAAACCCCTGTAACATACTTGCCATAGGTTGCCATAACTCAGTAACAACTTGAAGACACCCAACCATAACAAAAGCCCAAGTGAGCCATCCCAGAAACCTTGACTGCCTTGTATGGATTCCTTGCAGAGTAGCATAATTTGGAGTAGTGAAAGTCCATTGCTCAGTGATAAGCATCCAAGGTCTGATCCCTGACATCTCAGTCCAAAATGCCCAAGTAGCAGGTGATGGAAAAGAGCTCTGTCTGATAGTCTTGAAGTCCTTGCTAGTCAGATGGGCAGAAATGTACAGATGCACAAAACACCCTGATCTGGCATAGGGCATTTTCTTAGGTTCTGACATTTTGAGCGATGTAAAGGTGCCCTTACTGTAAAGTGCAGTTCATGGCTTTAATCCCACGGAAGCATAAGAGACCTTAAATCTGCAGTGGGGCATCCTCCTCACCCATAAGAATGAAACTCTAGCCAAGATATTCCAGTACAAGGTATGGAAAACAGATTTCTTTCTTACCTACATAAACAGGCTTCGGAATCACAGCACTTTAATGATACTTAGTACACTGGAAAGAAAAATTAAAGCAATTCCAGGATATGAGGTTATTTCTCTAACACACTGACATATGAGATGACCCCCAATGGGTAGCATCTCATTTTGAGATGGCTTTTTTTTACACATGACAGTAAGAAATCACTATTTGACATGGGAAAGATACTGAAATAGGAGGGTAGTGCTACAATCAAGCCTTTTGTCTTAATCAGTTTTTGTATGTGATGCCTTTGTTTTTGGGCATAGGTTTGTCTCCAGTTATTATCCACATCTCCAGTGGTCCACTTAAAACATCTTTTTGTTCTTGTTGTGTGTCTTCAAGTCATTTCTCACTTACAGCAAAAGGCGATCCTATCACGGAGTTTTCTTGTCAATATTTGTTCAGAGGGAGTTTGTGTTTGCCTTCTTCTCAAGCTGAGAGAGTGCAGCTTGGCCAAGGTCACCCAGTCGGTTTTTATGGCCGAACAGGGATTTGAGCCCGGGTCTCCTAGAGTCATAGTCCAACATTCAAATCACAACACCACACTAGTATACTGCAAATATATATAAGGAGAGAATCCAACAAACCTCTACATTTTGTGTTGCCACTAGAAGAGTCTTCTCCCATCTGTCAGGGATGCTTTGATTGGGAGTTCCTGCATGGCAGGTGGTTGGACTGGATGGCCCTCGTGGTCTCTTCCAACTCTATGATTCTATGAAAAAAAAGTTGTGTGAAATCTTGGGATTCTTTGCATGATTTATTTTCACATATTGGTTTACTGTAGTCTCTGTGTGGGACATATGCCAAAGGTTTAGCCTTGGGTGTGAATGGAGTAAATCCAGAATGTTCCAAAATCTTGCTAACAAAGGTAAGTATGGAAGAAAAATGTATTAGCATGATTTAGAGGATCTGCTTTAGTCTGATCTGCTTTTGCGTGGTGGTTATTGCAGATTTGGGGCAGGGCCTGAGACAATATAATTCTTTTGCCATATTGGGAGGCTCATATTTCTCGTTCCCTAGATGAGATTCCCAAATGATATTCACCCATGAGGGCCAGTTCACACATTGCTTTATGTAGACCCAAAAATATAAAAACATCACATATGGCACAGGGACATTCACTGAGGAGGAACAACTGGCTGTGACTCTGGATTTGGTTTTTTATAAAATGGCTCTAACTCTTTCTTCTCTCTGGGACACAAGCCAGGACAACAATCTTCCGAATAATTTGGTTACCCTCAAGGCCTACGGTAGCTGGTTCCACAGTGATCTGGGATCATCTTTCAAGGTTTCTCAAAGGATATATTTATGCAAGTTGTGTGTAAATAAAACACAAATTGGCCTTGCAAATCATGTGATGGAACTTTGTGAAATGCAATTTTCCTTTGTTTGAGCGTTGCCATCCCAAACCTGAAAAGATTTCACGTAGCCCAGCCTAGGAGGCTATACAATCAATCATTGTTTGTATCTATAGTATCACAGAGTTGGAAGGGCCCACATAGAAATACACAATCAAACAATGGACATTAAATATGTGTTTAAAGACCACTACCCTCCAAAGCACTATATTCTACTGCTGAATCTTGCAACCCATAACATCTTCCTAAAGTTCAAGTGGAATCTCTATATGAAATTCCCGTAGGTATTGAAATACAGCTAACACATCACTTCTTAGTTTTCTCCAAGCTAAATATACTCAGGCCCCTAAGATGTTCCTCACTGGACTTGGTATTCAGACCTTTTATTATGATCTCCATCTTCCTGGACACATCCTGCCTTGTACCTCTTGAATTATGGTGCCCAGAACTGGACAAAGCATTCCATGTGAGGTCTGACCATAGCAGAACAGTTGTTGCTATTACTTTCCTCAATCTGGACACTATGTTGATGCACCCTAAAGTTGCATTGGCTTTTTTGGCTACTGCATCCCATGACTGACTCATATTTAACTTGTGGTCTACTAAGACTCCAAGATCCTTTTCGCATGTAGTGTTGTCAAGCCAGGTGTCACCCATCCTATGTTTGTGCATTTCATTTTTCCTGCCTAAATGTAGTACCTTACATTAATACCTGTTGAACTTCATTTTCTTAGTTTTGGCCCAGCTCTCCAATCTTTTAAGGTCATTTTGAATTCTGATCCTGTCCTTGGGACTACAGTGGGCCCTTGGTATCCCCTAGGGTTTAGTTAATTAAAAGTTAATTTATACATCCACCCTGGTGTTTTTTTTAACACCTCCTACCTTCCTTCCTTCTTGGAGTTGTTTGCAACAGCGCCTTCAATTTCTCCTTTAAGAAACTCTCATGCATGATGAATTCTCTTCCCTTTGAGCATTTCTGACCATGAGATCTCACCCTGTATTTCCCTAAGCTTACAAATCAGCTTTGTTAAAGTCCAGAATATATGTTTGGCTTCCCCTTTCCTCTACATAAAAAAATTCCATGGATTCCATTAGTTCATTTGGTTGACCACTGGTTAGGATTGCATCTCTACTGGTTAGGATTGCATCCAAAATAGTTGATCCTCTTGTTGCTTCCTCCACCTTCTGAACAATGAAATCGTCTGCAAGGTGAGGAATTAGTTGGATCTTACCTTCTTGACAGAGCTTGAGTTACAATGAGTGGTTGAAGTTCCCCGTTACTACTATATCCCTCTTGTTTGAATGTTTGGTCATTTCATCTAGGAAGCCATCATCCGTCTTTAATTTGGCTTGGAAGTATATCACAGATCCCTATAATGATATCAACGTTTTCCATCCCCCTTAACTGAAACCCTCTCAACCTATTTTCCATGCTTTTAATATGAATCTACTCACAGGTGTACACATCCGTGATATAATATCCATGCTTCTCCTCCTTTCCTGTTTGATCTATTTCTTTGGAATAGGCTATATGCCTCTGTTGCTACATTTCAGTCCTGAGACTCATTCCACCAGATGTCATTGATACCTATTAAAGCATATTTGTCTATGCTGAGTTCAAGTTTGTCATGCTTATTTTCCATGCTTTGTACATTAACGTAGAAACATTTAAGACCATGGGGCATTCTCTCCCAAGCTGCTTCCTTGGGTTTTTCCCTCCTGCCCACTGTCGGGATTTATTCAGAGGTTGTTTGCCATTACCATCCCCTGAAGCTGAGAGCATGTGACTTGCCCAAGATCACCCAGTGGGTTTCATGGTGGAGCAGGGAATTGAATCCGAGTCTCCAGAGTTGTAGTCCAGCACTCAAACCATTATGCCACACTGGCTCTCTTGTGCTGAGCATAGAGATTTGTTGGAAGTGGATATCCCCAAACTCACCAACTACTGTCTCTCTCTTATCTGTCAGAAACACTTGGTATTCAATGACACGCTGCAAATGTAGGTTCTGTCTAGCGTATATCTCTTTGTTACGATTGTTACATGTATTTGTCTAATCATAAACTAGCTGCTAGCATCATAATTGTGCTGGAGGATAATGTTGGAAAAGGATACGTGACTCTGGACTGGAAAATTAATGTTGGCATTGTATTAATAACTTATGGATGCATAAGCTCACATGGAGCAGCAGTTAACATTGTTGCCTGATGTGGGACATCCATGTTCAGTTCAAGGTTGCAGAAGCAGAGTTGTGCATGCAGTACCATTGCACATGCATATGCATTTCACATCTGTCTGCACAATGTTGTAATTCACTGATGCACAGTTGTCATATCTGTGAGTAAAAGTTATAGTCTGTTTCCTTGATGTAAGCTCCTGGCCAAAGTGTTTTTCCCTCTAGTATAGAAGGGATGGGCAACTTATAAGCTTTCTAGATGTTGAAAACACAGCTCCTCTCACTTCTGACAAGGGCTGATGGGAGTTGCAACCCAAGAACATCTGGAGAGCCACAAGTTGTCCAGTCCAACATTCTAGTTTAAAAACTGTTTTATGCCTTGTTACCCCTTATTATAGTTTTTGCAGATTTCAATTTAAAAAAGGTGACTGTGGCCACAGGAGGGAGCTAGAAGCTCCTATTATGAAATCAGTGTGCATACTATTTGTCAGAGTCTTTGATATGTGCACTTATACTTCCAGGGCAAGGAAATCTTGCAGAAATGAAACTTCCCCCTGAGCAGACATGTATAGGACTGTGCTGCCAAGTCCTATTGAGTTTGGTGGCCTTATTCCAGGTAATCAGGTACAGGAATATTGTTATGCTCGTCCCAACCCTGATGGATGGGGGGAAAAGACTGAATCAATTTGGAAATTGCACAATAAAGTGTTCCATTCCAGAGAAAAGTGGGAGAAAATTATCTCAAAGACTGAATGGTGGCATGAATTGAGAGGCACTGCATCTATCAGCAGCTGGGGCACCACAATCGTGGGAAGGAGGGCCAATACAGTCCTGGATCCACTTTGAGCAATCTGCAATTTAAAGATCCCCATGTTTCTTAATCATAAACAATGCTGATTGTAGTGATCAAATGGTAATTAAACTGGGAAGAACATCTCCTGAGTCCTTGAAGAGTCATTGGGCTAGGCAGCTCCATGGCTTGACTTGATTTAAGACAAATTTATCTGTTCCTAAGTGATGGGGAATTTAAAAAATTGAGTGATAGAAAACCTTGGCTGAATTGATAAAGTGCATATGAGAATGGGAATGTTTTCCAATTTATTGTCCTTGGTAAGCAGTACGGATAGCCAAGTGAACACAGAAGAGGAAAAGTCTTTCTGTCCTACTTCCCTTTTGCCCAGTACTTTTGAAACAAAGGCAAGACTCACAAACTGAAGGACAACATGTTTTGTTTTTTTATTGCTACCAGAAGGCTTTCCTCAGTATCGCTGCTGAACGCAATACCTTCCAAAGGGTTGTGAAGAGAGCTTTAAAATCAAGGAACCATTATTCTGAGAAGCAGGGCTTTTAACATTAACGTACAAGATCTTTTAAGCTTTTCTTGCCCTTGCTTCAGGTTAAAAGGTTACACGAACATAAAAGTAGGAGTGGAGTGGAGTGGGAAGAAAAGGAAGTGGGGAAGAAATCTGTACTGATCAATTACACAAAGCAAAAAGTCTGGATTAGAAAACTGCCACAACAACAAGACTTCCATCTCTGTCAACCTCAACTAAATTTTGGTTTCATTGCATTTTTCATTTAATGCACATATTCACTTGAAGTGTGTTTGTGTATGCGTTTAAAAACCCATTAAAGTCCTAATTTTATTTGGTCAGTCTAACGGCAGCCACACAGATTGCTTCCAGTTTTCCATAAAACTGCTTGCAATAAATCCTACGCTTTCATCAGGTGTCCATTTGCCCTGCTCTGATTTTTTTTTTTTTTTTGGTACATCATACTCCACAGACATCCTTTTTAACTGACTAATTCTGAATGTAGAGCTAGTTGTAATTATCACATTTAAAACACCAAAGTGCTAAATGACAAAAAAACAAGAAGACAAGGAAGGGGTTTGCAAAGAAAATTAGGCAGCACCAAGTCAAAGTGGCAAAATACAAGGAATCATGCACTCGAGATCCAGAAAACTATTTTTTAAAAAAAGAGAGGAAGGATTGGTTAAAGGAGATTTCTCAAAATGGAGTAAACTCAGAGTGAGGGATGCCTAGAAGTGATTTTTGCACACTCAGTGTGAATTCTCCAACACAATGGATGAGATTATAACACAACAGCAGACTGAAACAGTGCAGAAGACAACACTAGGGGGGGAAACAATTTTTGCTACTTTTTTTTGTTTGGTTTTTGGGTCTTTTTTGAAAGGTTTTTTATACTTTTTTTGGTTTTTAAATATTTAAATCATAGTTGAACTATAATTAGCCGCACAAGAAAAGTAGGAAGGGGGATTCTTTTCAAAGGATAACCTAGCTCCTTCTCTTAGCCCCTGCAAGGTACAGCCTTCACTCTGCTCAGGCCACAAAAGGTAATTGTTGCCTGATGTTGCACTAAGAAGCAGCTCTCCTCCTGAGGTGCAGAGCACTGCTACATGACAGAAATGGGTTGCAAAGGAGGGCAGGGGGAAACACTTCCCCCTTGCCGTGAAACATCAGTGCTGCAGGCGGGAGTGGCCTTTTCGAGCACCCCTTCTGGAGCATTCTCCTCGTTGTAGAGCCGCTTGATCCCATCATAGAAGTCGTCCACCTCCATCTCTTCCACTTTGCGCTTGGCTGTTGCTTGTTTGCACCGGCTGGGAGCTGCCCGGCGCTGGCAGAGCGCAGTAACACCTTTGTTTGGCACTTCTGGTTTGCGCTTGTCCTTGGAGTCTGGGCCTGGAACGGAGGAGGGATGAAAGCGGAAGACCCCCGCATGACAGGTCACCAGGTTGTGCTTGAGGGGACTGTAGATGTAGACGGAGTTGGGTGGCAGAGACGGCTGCAGTGCGGAAAGGTGCTGGGCCACAAGTTCCCGGCAGTGGATCAGCTGGGAGCTGTCCATCTGGATTTTGGAAGGGAAAGAAGCAGAAGAGAAGAGCATTGGAAACTTGTATCCTGACCAACCTGTGACAAAGCAAGGATCCACAACAGAACAGCCTTTGCAGACATGCAATAGTTGATTTACTGCCAGCATACTCTTTGGCACCTTACTTGAAAAAGTCTATGCCTAGTACAGGCAGAATCTGTATTAGGCATTCATTTGTTCAAGTCATTATTGATTTAAACATCATGCTAGTTCTCCCCTACAACCCTTTGGCCTCCCTGAAATCTGGCTGCAGATGGTTTCCCAGGTTTTTAAGGCAATGGGGGCTGTAGGGGGCATTTCCCCTTCCTGGGCCACTAACAGAAATAGTTCCATCAACAGAAGCAGCCTCCTGCCTCCTCCTAATCTTAGCATCTGGTCCTTTGGTTAAAGATACAAACTCCTAAGGTGGCTCACAGTCACACTGAAAAGGCTACAAATTTCAGTACAGTAACTAAAAACAGGATAAAACGGAACAGCAGCATTAACAATGTGGCAGATAGGTAGATCACATCCAGGTGCAAGAAAAAACAAAGGTGCCACTCCAGCAAAGATCCTGTTCCCCACTTCTTAAGCTGAAGGGTCATCCTCACCTGAGAACGTGCGGTACCTAAAGAAGCACCTCCAAATGTCATCACATGGACAAGTAGACCTCATGTATACATTGAGGCCAGGTTTGGGAGCCAAAATTATAGATTTTGATATGATCCCTGGATATGTCAAGGGTAAAATTCAGGGGCATATACCAAAGGATCTAAAGCAGTGATTTCCAAACTTTTGTCTTCCATGTGTTTTGGACTTCAGCTCCCAGAAGCCCCAGCTAGTTTGATCAACAGTCAGCAATTCTGGAAGGTAAAGTCCAAAACATCTGAAGAACCAATGTTTGGGAACTACTCGTCTAAAGGATGAAGCAAAGAAAAACCATGCCAAAGAACTTACAATATTCCAGCACGGATAACTGTGCTCACCCTGACGGGTGGATGGATGAGAGAGTAAAGCTGGTTGGTGCTTCTTTTAGGTTCTATCACTTTTTCACCAAGGATAGTTCATTTTTAAAGTACAGTACAGTCAGCCCGCTATTTTCATGGGGGATCCATTCCAGACACACACACACCCCCGAAAACAGAAAATCACCAATATTCAGGCCCCATTGGCATGCGTCCCATTTTGTCCATTGTGTCCCTCCCAGCGCACGAACAGATGAAACCGCGGACCCCAAGTCCACGAAAATGGAGGGACAGCTGTACTATAGATCCATGGATAAGCTGACCCAGGTTTTTTGGGTCAATTTTTGAACTAAAATTTAAAGTTATACATGAGTAAACTATACATGAGTATAATTTAAAGTTATACATACAGTAAACTCAAATATCTAAAGCCGGGGGGGGGTGGTTTGCTACAAATGCTCCAGCCACATTTGCCTTACAGTATCATGCACCATGAGCTGTACCCACTTTCCCCACAAAAACTAGAAGTTATCAGATAGTCCTGGTTTGTGGAAAAACAGGTACTTGTGGGCTTGAAAAGCCTGAAGGAGAGTAGCTTTACACTAGATAATCATGTCTCACATCCTAGAGGCTTCCCATTTGGAGGCAAAACTCTTCTGTGGAGAACTGGGTGGGTACACTATCAGGACCACACTGGTGGTTTTGGTGGACTATCTATGTATGGCTCATGAACCACCTAATTCCTACCATGATCAAATGTCTGACATCTGAACTTGAAAGGGGCCAGGGAGGTAATGAGCAAGGGAGAATTGTGGGGTCTTCTTTGAAGGACAGAAACCAAGAGATTGTCTTACAACACACACATAGAGCTCATGTC